GGGGGGGGGGGGGGAGGGGGGGGGGGGGGGGGGGGGGGGGGGGGGGTATTCCTCTTATGTTTCTTTTTTTCTCGTGATCGTTACTACTAGTTGCGGCTACACCATCGCTACCAGTAAAAACAGTATCGATGACGAAGAAGAATTAGACTTAAGTAAAACATGAATAAAAATTAACAAAATGCTCATAAATACGAGGTTGTTGGGGGCGAACAATCGATCGTCATCCAGACATTTTGTCCGTGGTGCGTCTATCGTTTTGTTATTTTCATTCGTATGTACGTTTTGTTGTGTGAGTGTGTCTGTATATAAAAATCATACGGTAGTTCCATATTACGATGGGATGTATGTATGATCTTTTGTATCTCCGGCTGGTCTGATAATCGTTCATCGTAGAATCACACGCGATACCGTAAAATACACATATATCCGTCGATCCTACATACTGTATCAAATCCGATCCGGGGCCGATATACAATTGTTATGCGGTTGTCGTCTCGTTTGGTGTACAATAAACAGGAGTTTGATATGCAGCCATTCCGTTTACAATAATCCATTTCTTTCTTTCTTTCTTTTTTTTTCGTTTTTTTTCTCATCGTCATTACGTCGTTTGTCTTCGTATTCCGGGGGTGCGTGTAAAATACAAATGTTTGCGTATGTTTTTTCTTTTTTTCATCCCTTTTTTTTTTCAAATAATCTCCAGAACAGGGGGGTGTCTGGGCTCCAGGGACAGGGACCAACTACAGCCCGCACTTACAACTCTTACTAATTAACTAACAGGCTAACAATAACAACAAGTCAACACTCAAAATGTGTGCTGTATGTGTTCATGCATTTGTAAACATTTGCGTACATTTTACATCCTACTTCAATCCGTGACTATCATTATCAAATTCGTAGTCAGTCATCTTTAAAAACTTTTCTCCCTCTCTCTCTCTCCTCATTCGTGTATTTGTAAAAGAATACGAGAAACAAATTTACTTTTTACATAAAATTTAGAAAAAACAATACTCTTTCCTCGTTCTCTCTTTCTTTCTCTTCATCTCTTTCTCTGTTTCTCTCTCTTCCTATCTCTCTTTCTCTAACCGTTTAATTAATTTGTCAAATATAAAAAAAAGAAACACGTCAACAAATAAATATAATACGATTTAGATCCGAGTTTGCCGCGCTACTTGGATACTGTTATTGAAAAATTTACTGTACAAGTGGGTTTCTTCACGATCGTGAGCAATACTCATTTTTTTCCATCTTTTTTCATCTTTTCTTATCCAATAGTTCCCTCGATATCAATGACCGTAACCGAACTAGTCTGGGAGACACCCGCAGAGCCCTTGGCTTGCTTGCAACGTTTCACTTTTTTTACTTTCGCAAAACTTGCCTGACCCTTAATAATAATAGTTTCACTGACTGTACACGTTTATAGACCAACAATAGAAGGTCTAGCGGCGCTTGGAGCGCTCCACGCACACATACACACACAGACACATTCCGCTTAAGGACAACCTCTTTCTCTCTCTCCCTTTCTCTCTCATTCTTTCTCTGCCTCTATGATCTCTTTAAACGCTCATCCCTCTCGCATGCTCGCTATATTCGCATTCTCGCCCTTGCCATCTGTTTGCCTACGCGTATAGCTACATCACACACGTACTCCAAGTTGATTTTCTCATCTCTTCAATATCTTTCCTATTTCATTCTATCTATCTATCTCCGTTACGATCTTTTTCTCTCCCCACATACTACTTTGCCTCTCAGCCTATCTAACACACACGCTTCGTCACGTAGATTCAAAAAATCTAATCATCGCACAATAAACCGCAGGCTTCCATGAGTTCTCTTAATTAATACAAGCCATCACAATCCCTATGTCAACATCGCTGATCTTCATCACTTGGCAGTAAACAATGTGACAATGCAGTAGTGGTACTTAGATTAGTATTATCATAATATAATAATAGTACGCGGGGTGGGTGGGTGGTCACTCCGATGTAATAATTAGTCTCAGTGGCACATCACTGTACATAATCACAACAACAGCGGGCGATGGTGGTGGCGCAGAGCACAGTTGCTGCGTATTTAGTGTGAAAAAACATTTACAATTATTTCGGATCGATATTAGAGCAATAATACAAATGGATGACCCTCTTCTTTCTTTTCCCTCTCGTCTCGATTCTCCCTCCTCCTCCTCCTCCTCCTCTCCTTTCCTCTCACTCTCCTGCCATCTTTCCTCTCCCTCTCTCTCTCTCTCTCTCTCTCTCTCTCTCTCCCTTTCCTCCTCCGCGTTCCGTCAGTCTGATTTTTTATGTTGTTTCCCGTTTTTTTCCTTGTAGATTCTCCTTATGTTCGCGCTTATTCGTTTTCCGCTTTGTCTATCATGCATTTGTTCGTGCGTGTGCATTTCTTTTTTTTTTATCACTCACAGGCTTGCAGAAGTTAGCTCCACGATTGGTAGGAGTCTTGATACCATTCGTGATCGTCGCCGGAAACACCGCCTAGTGCGGCGGCTCTGCCTCCGAATCCTATGTCACCGCCACCACCACCACTGCCACCATTCACACTCGCCAATCCGTACGCATTGCCCAGCGGTTGTTGGGCGAGGGGCTGGTTCCCCCAATTGCTCTGGAAGCGACGCTTAGATTCCCCCTGGTTCTGGTGACCCCCGTCAAATTTTCGTTTACCTGCTATAAAGAAACAGTGGAAGAGTTATGAAACCGATGATTACGTATTCGTGATCGAGAAAGGACCGACAACAATATTTAGATTTATATACTGAATAGCAATCTCCTTTTCATTGTGCGACGTTTGCAAAATATTTATACGCAGAAAGGTGAAAAAGAGATTACGAAAGTTTCCCTCGATGTGTATGGAATTGCGTGTGGTGTATGTTCGGAAGGTGTGTATATGTTCGAATAATGGAGATCGCCGGTGAACAGGAAGCTCGGACACACGCGAAAATTAAACGTGAAACGTGAATGGATCTACTTACTTCATTAAATTCACATTTGGAACAGATACCGTTACATCATCCAATTCAATCGATTTTATTCGTGACGCGAAAAATTTCGACCAGAATTTCGATTAGAATTTCAATTTTAATCAAGCACACGAAAGAAATTGGAACAACTTGTAGAAGTATTTTAATTACGCTTCTTTTTCTCTTCTTCTAATTATTATGCTTAGTTGAAAATACATTTTCTTATTCTTATATTTCGTTCTATCTCTAATAAAAATCAATATTGAAATTATTCTACGGTGACTTACTTCGTACACGTCAAAGGATGTGCTATTAATATGTGCGCTCAACTTAATGCCTCTTTTGGTTACACATAAAAGAACTAACCTACTGCTCTGTTACAATCAGGTGAATGGGACTCGGGTACCTTGGAGGGAAGGTGGTGGGTTGGATCGTTTACTGCAAAGTGAACAATGCAAATCCGTGATGACTATGTACAGAAATGTGCAATCACTTGTGACAAGCTAATTATGTTGTAAATAATATTATCGAAACCTTCGGCGTGAGTGAAAATATCTCTCATTAGTAAATCTGTAAAGAGAACCAGAATAGAATTAAACACTGAGTATGAAGTACAGTGACTCTGTGAGGAATTTGTGCTCCATATAGTAATTCTGTACAATTCTGCAAGATAAATATAATCGGTTACAATCGCTAATACGTTCCAGATTGAATGTGACAATTTTCCTCGTAGCAGTCAATAATAATTCGTATGTATCTGCATCCGCCAGGGTAGGAAGAATACAAATGTTCTATGAGGATTCGATTATATGTACCCGAATAAGAGGAGGGAAATGGAAGGAATAAACAGTTTACCGTCATATCGCTATCAATGATAGATGGATGTTGGGCTCGAATGTAAAGCCAGCGCGGCACACGGTGCTTGTTTTCGTGTTGGATTGCTTGCTGGATGGAAATATTCTATTTTGATCGGTGCATTTCCATCCATCTTCAGAAACGCACCAATCAGAGTATTTCCATCCAGCAAGCAATCCAGCACGAAAACAAGCACCGTATGACGCTGGCTTAAAATGTCTTATTTCGGGAAACGAGTATGGAACAGAATCCTATCGAGAGGTTGCAAGCAGATATCCTAACAAAGAGCTTCCTAGCAAAGAGTACTATTTAGAGCGGTTAAGAAAGCTCGCGCAGAACATTTAAGGAAGCTACGTTACCAAGACGTTGTAGCCTCTATAAAACGTAATATAGCAGTACAATGATCGAAAGGCGAAGTACTATGTACAATTGTTGACAGGACACATATAAACGAAAGAGTTCTCATGAACATTATAATTAGCACCAAAAGAATCAAGCGACACTACCAGCTATGCCTTATAAGCACGGCTTATAAAATTAAAAAAAAAATAAAAAATGTTATCTGTAACATACGCGAGAGACATTGAATTCAAGAGACTCGATATTATTCGATTATCACTAATTATCTCATCAATCAGAATCAAGAATAGATTTCACGCGGTGCTTCGGCATCGTGATAATCTCGTATCAATCTCAAAGTGTATGTGAGCTTTCGTATGTGACAGTATATATCATGTGACGAATAGAGTTAACTCTATCTGTGTATATGTGTCTCTGTGTGTGTATGTATATGTGTGAGTATATGCGTGTATGCGTGCGAATGTGTGACTGTAACGAGAAAGAGAAAATGTAAATAGTGTAAAAGATGATTCATTGTGGAGATACAGACCATCCTCACCTGGTAAACTTCCCTTGGCGCGGACCCCCCCACGAGCGGCCAGCCGCTGGACCCCACGGGGCCCTGAAGTTGCGGGGTTGCGTCCCCCCCTGACTGGCCCACGGGCTTGCGGGCCACCGATTCGGCCACGTGGCACTACTCCACGGCCACGACCAGCCTGACCAAATAACACACACCCAAATTGTTACCCCATCTATAGTATAAAAACCTTATTGCATATATATGTCTGCGTTTAAATTTCGCTTTTTCTCTTTAAGTTTTACGCGTCTTCTGCCCTATATATGTATATATATATCTATGTGTCTAATTATACACAAGTAATATTTCGCAGTGTAGCGACCCTTAAAAAAAGACGTAGATAACAGTAGGTAATAATAGTCACGTAGTAAGGCACAGTGGAAGTAAGAGGATCAGTCGAATACACATCGCTGAATGATCAACGGTGTTTCCTACAATATCGTATGCGTGTTATACCTCGCATACTCAAGTTGTATACGCGTATATAAGCTCTTATACGCACGTATACGTCACATAAACAGCATGGAAATAGATGTGAGTGAGCGACAGGGGGAAGAGAGTTACGATAGAGCGAAAAAAATAACAACAATAATAGGAGAGCAAATGAAGAAGAAAGTTACACAGATGGACGAGAGCAGACGAGAGGAAAAAGTCGAGGACGAGGAGGAGGAGAAGAAGAAGAAGAAGAAGAAGAATGCGCGGTAAGTAGAGAAATCACCTATAACCAAATCTTACTAACCACGTTCTTACATACAGCGTAGAGTTAGCAGAGTTATCCAATGTAGTAAAGCGAAAAGCGAACTGATTGGTTGGCGTAGGAACTTTAAGCGACACAAGCTACTGCACTGGCAGCTAAAACAAAATTCAACCAAGGCGTATTATAATATAAGCGGCGCAGCGTCATAAAGCGTGGTGTGTGGTTTTAAGCATAAGCAGGTTTATATACATCGGGGCGGGGGGGAGGCACAGGGGGACGGGAGTGCCAAAGCGAGAGCCGTGAGACGTGTTCACTGGTCACTACCAGTCATATACGAGGGACGCAATCTTCTCTATTCCGTCATCTATCCCCGCGTGGTCTATCTCACCTACGCATAATTCAGTGTACAAGTACATAAAACATTATTATTATTACTATTATTATTGCTAGATTATATTCGTCACGTAGTAAATATACGATAATGCGTGATAAGCTATCGGCACAGAATATCATGTTTTATCGTCCCTCAGTCCCGGACGCTGCTGCTAATACAACTTGCGATAAACTTTTCCTCCTGCTTAATAAATTGGCACATTGAATCGAGTGTCACTTTTTGGAGCTTATGTATGGGGAACGATCCACACGTATGTGTGCGTATGTATCGTCGAACGGCCGTTTATCCAAATAACGAGACGTGCGAGCGGGAGTGCATCTGTCAGAGACTCTCCCCTGCAAGAAAGTAGATTAAGAGATGCCGAGCACGTCGTCGTTTATACGTAGCTACGCGTTTAGCGATACACAACGGACACAACGAGGCGATGAAACGGTAGCGGATGCGCTTGTAAAGTCAAAAGGAAACGGAGGAACATCTCCCCAGGACGAACAACGATCGAATTCTCGTATATTTCTCGACCGCTGTTGTAGCCGAGATCGTTGTACGGATCATTCCCGTGTCAAGTACGGATGTGAAATGATGAATTTAAGGAGAGACGATGTCTACACAGCTTCGACATTACTATGCGACACGAGTATCTTATCGTATGAATCACACGAGGCGAGAAAAAGGTATGCACGAAATATCCGTGAAGGAAAAGAAAAAGCGAGACACATGAAAAACGTGACGCGAGCTGCGTCGTGTGAGAACGCAACGAAACAACAAAAATGATAATGAGAGAAACAGAATTTGCAGATCGCCAGGATAAAAATAAAACAGAAAGCTAACATTTGAAGGAAGTCTATTTCCTTGAGAGACGAATGATACGACCAGGGTATACGTGAAAAATAAATAAAGAGGCGAAAAAACGCACGTTAATAGAACAAGGCACGAGAGGTTATGCGTAAGTCGAAGGTTCTCCTTGCGCTTCTCTGCGTCTTCTTCTCTAAAGCGACAGCTAATCACGACGCACAACGTCGTAATGGCACGAGGAGCACAACAGCGCTGACGGGAATATTAACACACAACAATTGAGAGCGCGCGTATCGTGTTTGTCGCATAGCGAGACACTGCCAAGAGAAAAAGTTGATCGCAATGTAATAGTCGAAAAAATATAAAAATAAAAAGAGAAATTAGACGGTAAATATAAATTTCGCAGGGCGCCCATTTTACGCTCCCTTACGGTATTTGGATAACCCTGCAACTTGACATAGAAAAAGTATATATATGTATATATATATATATATATATATGTGTGTGTATATATCATCATATCCGAGCCACGAGACGCAACGTCGCTCTACAGAAAAAAAGAAAAAAAAAGTATAAATTACTTGACTAAGATTATATAGAGGGCGACGACGGTACATGGGAAACTCCTGTACACTGGTCTCTCTTGCCTACATCTGGGATTCTCCTGAAGCTGCACTAGAGTATGATATTGGGATAATGTTATAGGGGGGATCCTGCAACACTCTAAAAATGTGCGATCTTCTTCCTTGGGAGGACTCTCATTCGCGAAGCGTTATCTCCCGCGTCTTCCATCTTTGCCGTGCACCTTTCACAGTTGTCTCTTACATATTGTTTTCCTTTTCTCTACTTTGTCTTTTGTTTGCAAATTGCTTTTCCCGGCTATATATTTGCTTGAAATTTAGAATGGGTCTACCATGGCTCAGATATGATTTGCAAGCAATTTGAAAGTGGCAATGTGTTCGGATTAGAGGGTCTATATAAATTAGTATCGAAGCGTTGTGGTGTTAGTTAATATAATACATATACTAGAGATCTTAAAGAGGCTCTACTAATGTAAATACAATGCATTCACAGTGTGCTCTTAACAGCATTCTCTCCCGCTCTTTCTCTCTCTCTCTCTCTCTCTCTCTTCCTTTCTCTCCCTCTCTTTCTCTCCCTCTCTTTCTCTCCCTCTCTCTCTTTCTCCTCCGCCTTCGTTTGATATTATTAATGATTAATCATGATTGCATTCAATTATATTCGTAGCATTTCTCTCCCTCTCTTTCACTCTCACTCTCCCTTTCTCTCTCTTTTTTCTCTGAGTTTATTATAGAGTCTACAGCTCGGATGAGTGCTATTACTCGTATACTGTGGATGCGGTGCATTTAACAACATTATGAAACGGGATTGCGTTAAAATGTGCATCCCCCTGCGCGCGTTAATAGTGATTACAATGAAGCTAGCGCATATCAGTTAGCCAGCGTTAATTACACGCTCAGACAGAAAATATGGGCAGGGTGATCTGGATTAAAGTAACTTGGAGATGTACAACATACTTAGGAATATATCCGCGAACACTGTGCCACAATCAAACTACCGCTGATATCGAGAAAAAAGGTAATGATTCAGGAACGAAAACGACTTTTAGAACCATTAAAAAAGGCGACCCACCGGTTGAGGCTGCCTGCCCCTCCCTCTGGCAGGCGGCGGAGGCGGCGCATAATCGAAATAGTAATCTTCGTATCGATAATAGTCATCGTAATAGGGATCACTGTAGCCACCTCGATAATCCCCATAACCGTAATAGTCGTAATCATAATCTATAAAAACACACATTACAAATAGACCCAAATTTAGCCACGATATATCCAATTGACAACTTACTGAGATAATAATAATTGGTTTCAATATAAGAAAGGCATGCCGGGAAAAGATAATTTTGAAAATGCCAATAATGATAGAAACGAAAGATAAGAAAAAGAAAAAAAAAGTCAATTTGTATATCGCATAAAGTAAATACGATGACGTGTGAGAAAACAATTTGTCCAGAAATAAAAAAAAAAAAAAAAAGAGGAAAAGTACGTTCTCGCATTAAAAAAATAAAAAATAATTTAAAAAATTTTAGATATATGTATACAAGAACACACTTAAATCACAATATACCGCACGGACAAAATTGCATATATACTGATTACCCTACCACCATCACATATCCTGAGATAGAGTTACAAGGTCAATCGAAAATTTCACGCATACTCCAAACCAAAATCCGCAAATAACACAATATTTCTTTTATGGGAACGACACAAAGCATCTCAATTAACGGTATAATTAACGGAGACTAATTAACGAATGTAGAAGAAATATTTGATTCGACAATAATGTAGAGGTGCGAAACATGGCATAAAAATTTTCTCAACTAATTGTCGATATCTCTTCTAAGCGATGCTCACAGGAGTATTAAAATATATCGATCGCGTACAGTTTCGAAGAGTCATCTAATACACGATGAATCGCGTACGGAAAGATTTTACGAGGTTTTCGTAAAGTGTACATATACTTTGCGTTGGAGGAAGTTAGTTTTCGATGACCTCGCGATACGTATTTTAAATTGGGCATAAACTCAACATAAAAAGGAAGAAAATACACAAGACTACATATAAATACTCTACAACTGTTGCATTCATCATTCATCATCGCGGCTTACCTATTTCCTTGAGAGCTGTAAACAGATTTGTGAATTGATGATGCATACACAATCAACGACGTACACACGCTCACATAAACGAAACAGAACGGTGGGGGGGAATTAAAACTCTCCTTGGCAATGCGTGTGATTATTCTGTGCACTGCCACAAAATAATTATCAACTAGGGCACCAAACGAAAAAAAAGTACAAATAGATAAATACACATGCAATTGCCTTTGGTAACAAAAAAAATTAATCGAACAGGTGTCACAGGAAGTGGTAGTGGTAAGGCAACAAGGTGCTCATATTACAATGCTAAGCACACATTTAACATACATATATATATATGCATCCATGTACATATGTATGTAACACAAAGAAACATAACGTCCATAACATAACTGACATTAATCGCGACGCGATCGTACTTCTCATTCACATTGTGATCGAATAAAAAAGTAAACTAAAGAGATCCTCGTTATTCAGACATTCCAAAACTAGGCTCAGACCAAATACTATACATAAATGACACATAAACGTTGCCATACATTGAGTTCATTTTCTCCTGAATATTATTTACGAACATTAACTTGATCTTTATTATCTGAGCACTCTCTCACTACAACCTTACGAAACAATTCATTGAGACATTCTTGCGCAGAAAAAAAATAATTTACAATATATACCATATACCCGACACAAATATAATGTTTTGCTTGTATATCAATGTATTTAAAACTAATTTTCTTTATATAAAAATACTTTATATATTTATGTGTGTGAGAAAATATATGAAGAAAAAACCGTAAAATGCCACTTTGCTCTGTGTATATGCATTGAAAATTATTATTTATAAAGGGATAATGCGGTTTTGGTCGAGGTCAAGAAGAAAAAGGTTTCAATCGAGAGAACCATTATGTAATATAGGAATGCTCAGTAAGTATTTCTTGCTCACACGTTCAAAAATAGCCTATCATGCGCGTAAGCCAAGGTATGTAGTGAGATAGTGAAAAATCCCCAAAAGCATGCGGGATATTTGCGTTACATAAACATTATCAAAAATATCGTCTCATAGAAGTTATATTTAATAGTATATATTTTTTAAAATCTCTGAAATATATATATATATATATATATATATATATATATATATATATATATATATATATATATATAACAAGCTAATATATATGTATATAAATTAGATAATGTCAATTTGAAGATATAAAAATTTGAAGATATATAAATTTTCATTTAATTCTACTTTGCAAGTTAAGTAAATATTTTATAATTCTCATTTTTATAAAGTAAAATTTAAATAAATTAGATATATATATATATAAAAGTATTATTTATCAATAATACTATTAGTTTCTTGACCCATTTCTTATCTCTTACGTAAGAGATATTGCACTATCTCGAGATATCTCGTATAGCTCTAATCTGTAATTTCTGATTTGATGTTTCGAATTTTATCAAATGTCATGGTCCAAGCCTAACAGATAATTATAACTATTGCAATTATGGTTAAGACACAAATTTGCGGTTTAATAACTGTTATGACTTGAAAGGAACGAAAACATATGCAGGCATCGTGTTATACTGATATACGTGACATGTGTAAAGAAGTTATTCAAGTTTGCGTTCTCTTGCAGATCATTCACAGACGCGTAGCAGTCCTTCTAGGACTGTCAAAAAGTGTTCTAGGACTGTCGAAACGACGTAGTAGCAAAAAAAATTTGTAAGAATTCGAATGGGTACTAACCGTAATCGCCACGTCCCATCTGTCCACGCATACCTGCGCCAGTACCTCGAGGTCCTTGTGCGGGTCCACGAACTGGCATTGGTCCTCCCATCATGCTCGGGTGAGATGGAGATCCACTGTGAGAACAAATGTCAAACAATCATATAAACATTTTTAATTAAAATTATCGTTGAATATCGACTCAAAGGGGAAGCATATTAACCTTATCGAAACGGATGTTGATGTGTTAAAAGAGATATAAATTGGGATTAAGTAGTTTTTTTTAAATATATATATATATATATATATATATATATATATATATATATACACATATAAATGAATGACACTCACCCGCCTCTACCTTGCAACATTTGCATCATTCGTCTTTCTCTAGCGCGTAGCATCTCTTCTTTTTTCTTCTTGTCAGACGGTGGTTTTGCTAATGAAACTTCTATATGGGATCCACCCATTTCCTTTCCATTTAGTTCATTCATCGCCTGAAGAAAATATATGTGTACATTTAAAGTATATCCTACCCTATAAGTTAAATCTACGTCGTTAAGAAAATGCTATTTACCCTAACAGCATTATCTCTATCTTCAAAATGTATAAAAGCGTAATCCTTGATTTTCTTCACTCGTTCGATCTTTCCATATTGTTCGAAGCTTTCCTTCAATTTTTCTTCGGAACAATCTTGTGTCAAATTCCGCACATAAAGCACGCGTACCTAAAACAGAGAAGTTCACGATATAGCCATTCGCTATACTGATGGTGTAACTGCTACAGACTCAAGAGATGACACGATATTATCGAAATAATCAAGCTCTGTCATTATTATTATCATGTTCATTTACTTTTGACATGGTTTGTTCATCTGGTTCCTCTTGAGGGTCGGCCCAGTCAACAATAATATCACATCCCCAAACCTTGATACGTCCAGTACTCAATCTTCGTTTGGCTAAGGAAGCTGCTTTGTGAGATTCATACTCCAAAAAGCAAAAACCTCTATTCTTCTTTTTGTCATCCGGTGAGCTGTAGATAATCACCTCGGTCAGGCCAGCTATATATTGGGAAAAAAAAAAACATACAAGAAATGGGTGAGATTTCTTTGATCTTGACCAGGTTTACGGGGTGTTTTAAGGATTGCTACTAGTAAAGAATGGAAACTGTGCCAGAACACAAAAATATATATATTCAAGCAGCTATTACGATTTTTGTATCCAATGATTATTGTGAATGAAAAGTTTGCATTTAATGTTCTCAAATAGATACGATAATCACATATATTATCTATCTTGATCGTTCTCGAATATTCAGTGTACGTGGACCAAATTACATATTATTTTGTAATCATATGATCATTGTTGATCATATGTTACACATAAAACAACTATTAAAAATTTATCCCGATTGCGGCTAATAATAATTATTCGTATAAATTTACGAATACAAATACATGTTATATTATACAATACAAATATGTATTATTATACAATACACGTATTCTGGTTTTTAGCAATTGCTTTTTACACGCGTTTTCTCATATACACAAAAGAACAATTTGACAATAACAAAAAACAAAAGATAAAACGTAAATATTGCACCACTATGTATCAGATCCTATATTAATCAATCTGCAAGATTTCCATAACACTTGATTATATGTATCTTCACAACACAATATTATTTTATTATTCATCGGCTTTTCTTTGGGCATTATATAATATTCGTACTTTGCAAATTGCGGATATCAAAAGTTTTATATATCTGTCTTTTACACATTCTTATTTCAGAAAAAAAAATCAAGACGAAATCCAAAAGTTAACACCTAAGAAAGATTTAAAAAAGAAGAAAAAATGAGAAATAAAAGTCAAATAAAATTTACAAAATAAAATTTCATCAACAAAGACTATACCAGGATTAAAATATAAAGGAAACAAGAAAGATATACTTCACCAAATGCTCACAACTTGGGTCACGATAAAATCTTAAATGAAAAGCTACGAAAGATCGGGATTATAAAAGAACAGAAAAAATGCAAAGACCTTATTAATAACTACAAAGAGAAAGATTGCAAGCTCTAAATATTCTGTAAAACACTCTCTCGATATATGTATACTATTAGCACTGTATGTCTGAAACCTTCTTCATTACTTTTACTGAATCCGCACATATTCGGAAAATCTGAGAGGATTATTCATTTCAAGGCATATGAATGCTATTATTAAGTAGTATGATTGTCATGCTATTAGAATTCTCATGCATTGCGATGTGTAATTCAATTACGTATACACCAAAATGATACTCTATCATATATTATCCTTGATCTGTGTCTTCTAATTCTAAGGTGTGGGAATATATATTGTCCGTGAGTATCTCTCGATCTAATCTCACTTTAATCTGACAAATTTTTTTCTGAAAGTAATGAAAAATTGCCAAACAATTTGACAATTTCCATTGGAAAACTTAATTAACTATCATCACTCATAGAAACAGTCCTTCTCTCCTTCCTCTCAGTTTAGAAGCTGCATTGTTTGGATAACAAGGCATCTCATATATACTACAAGCTATGATTTTAAATAACACAAGCAATCAAAATTTCATGAGCTAAACTAACAAAATATCCTTAAAAATATCCTATTTTTTTACATGTTTGTTTTCAAGTGATTATTCGTTCACTTTATAAATTCGTGTGTAAGGAAACAAGAATCCACGATTTTATTCTGTTGCATGGATTAAGCTCGCTGTCTTTCTCAATTGTCTGCCTTATCACTAAAAAAAAATGTGGTAGCAAAATGCTCAGATGCCTTGCACCATGGTATCGATCAGTTTTCTTATGATTAACTTCTAGATCATCCCTGTGCCTCGTCATTTTACTAATTCGGCTTTTGCCCTTATCGCTATTATCTTTTTCTATCTCCTCTCTGTGTCCATATCCTGACAACATGCAAGAATCTTATGCACACACATACAAAATGTAGTGATGATAAGACACATTCATTCGATCACATTCGATTCACCATTCTTCTTCATTGGGTTTACATTTACACCATACAAATAGTACGTTTTTTCATATTAAATTCACTAAAACTGAAGACATCACAATAAACACACATTTACTCATCCATGAAATGTGATTATGTTCCTATCGTAATCGTCGTATGTTCGATACTGTAAAAGTTCTGTATACTTTCGATTATTGAAGAAAATAAATAAGTGGAAACGTAAAGCCTTTAATACTTTGTAATCATGTATAAATGAAAAAAAAAAAAAAAAAAAAAAAAAAAAAAAAAAAAAAAAAAAAAAAAAAAAAAAAAAAAAAAAAAAAAAAAAAAAAAAAAAAAAAAAAAAAAAAAAAAAAAAAAAAAAAAAAAAAAAAAAAAAAAAAAAAAAAAAAAAAAAAAAAAAAAAAAAAAAAAAAAAAAAAAAAAAAAAAAAAAAAAAAAAAAAAAAAAAAAAAAAAAAAAAAAAAAAAAAAAAAAAAAAAAAAAAAAAAAAAAAAAAAAAAAAAAAAAAAAAAAAAAAAAAAAAAAAAAAAAAAAAAAAAAAAAAAAAAAAAAAAAAAAAAAAAAAAAAAAAAAAAAAAAAAAAAAAAAAAAAAAAAAAAAAAAAAAAAAAAAAAAAAAAAAAAAAAAAAAAAAAAAAAAAAAAAAAAAAAAAAAAAAAAAAAAAAAAAAAAAAAAAAAAAAAAAAAAAAAAAAAAAAAAAAAAAAAAAAAAAAAAAAAAAAAAAAAAAAAAAAAAAAAAAAAAAAAAAAAAAAAAAAAAAAAAAAAAAAAAAAAAAAAAAAAAAAAAAAAAAAAAAAAATGAGATGATACTGTCTGCTGTACTTTTTGCGTCCTAATTTGAAATTTTGCGTCCCAAAACCAAATTCAAAGTATCATAAGAATTTCCCACGCAAACATACAATGTACAAGGCTACAAATATAAATGCGCGAATTCGTGATTACACATAGCGTCCTTCAGAGGTGGAAGAAAACACACGAAATGAATAAGTGGAATCGCGAATTAGATTGGTTGTAGGACACAATAACGCAGTTATGATCGTCTACTCATTGCAACTGTGCACATTTTGCAAACGAAAAATTACTAAAAATAAAAATGAAGGAACCACATGGTGAAGAGTTCACATTTGGCTTATAAATAAATTTATATATCAGCGTTACCAAACATTGACAATCTTTGAAAATAAAGAATTTCGTTTCTCCGAATATACCAATTCATGACAAGGTTTTTGTTCAACATTTATGCAAGAGGGCTGGATTTTAACCCACCTGGCACCTCTGCTACCAACAACTAGGTAAAAAACACCTGATTTCATAAAGAGAAATTTTTGTCCCATCATCTCTCCCATCGAACTTCCATTGGTTACTGCTTGCTGATTTAAGGACAATTGTCAACTTACGTGCGTGCTTTGTAAACTCTTCGAACAAGTCATCTCGGTCTCGATTCTTTGGAATATTTCCCACAAACAAGCGGTGATTGTTATAAGATACGGTAACACCAATCTTTTTCCCTTTCCGAATCTCATAATCATTCAGCTGTAAGAATAATGTGGAAGGAGAGTGCCAATTAAGCTTGCCTTTTATGATTTCACCTGCTTATTGGCTGTCTGAACGTGGGATTTCATGAAGCGTCCTTCGGGGGGGGGGGGGGGGG